GCCCATCGCTAGTAGGTTGGAGGCCATCGCTAGTAGGTTGGAGGCCAACGATAGTAGGTTGGAGGCCATCGCTAGTAGGTTGGAATCGGTACTAGGTTGGAGGCCATCGCTAGTGGCTTGGAGGCCATCGCTATTAGGTTGGAGTTCATCGCTATTAGGTTGGAGGTCATTGCTACTAAGTTGGAACCAACCCGTTGCATGAAGATGGTTGAGCTTTGAGGTCCGAGAATAAAGTCGCGACAAGGGGCGCGCCAACGAAGCCAAATGCTCTCGCTGGTCCAAAGCCTCAAGCCCGGGAAAACCTCCAGCTTGAACGCTCAAAAGTATGATTCCTGATCTTCATGGAGTAGTGACACATTGTAAACAAATTGTTGCGGTTTTGGCCAACTTAGGGCTGACTTAGCTGAATGTGCTGAATGTTGCACGGGTTGAAAATCTACACAGCTTGATGATTTGCACCAGAAAAAAGTTAGAACAACAACACAGGTTCTCTTCCTTAACAGTGGGAAACGGAAGGTCTGCTTTCTTGCTCCGAGAATGGGACTTGCTCAAGCAAGGCTTTCATTTCCTTAAGCTGCTCCAATTGAGACAGGCCTCGCAGCAAAACAAGGTCTTCTCGGTCCTTTGCTGTGGCTATACTGACCGAGAAAAAAAAGAGAGCGCAAAGCTTAGCTGGCTCTATGTACTGAGATCGATGACGCAACGAAGCTTCCACTTTCTCCATGGCAAAGGAAGCTGAATCCTGCAGTGTGTCTGATTCAACAAATATCAAAAATGAATCACCGACTGGCATCCAACGTGGTGAATATCTTCTATCTATACTGCAATGGGCGCAAACAACAAGAAACCAAACGTGTAAAGTCTCAAAACCAAACAAGCAAGTTCACACATTCGTTTGAAGGATGCTCACACCCATCACGGAGATACTCGGAAGAACATCGATGAAAGTTTGGGCCACTACTTGGAAAGAGTCCAGCAAAAAACGAACACCTTTCCACAAGTGAGGCGCGTTTTGACTATATATATGCATATATACAGTATATATATATATATGAGTATAGTTTCTTTCTGCAAATTCAAAGGACAAAGCACAAGACATTGATTGTTCAATCTAGCTGAAAAGGGGATTGCTGCAACACTTATAAAGATTCGGCATACGCTCGGTCGTCGTTCCGAAGTCTTACCGTTTCATTGTAAATGAACAATTTCACTTCACCACATACTACAAGTAGATCCATGTTTTGCTTTGCCACTTTTCTCTAGATATATATATATAGTTTTGTCAAACAGTGTTTCCCGCGTCTACTCCAGCGTTTTGAACCTCCGCCACCCGCTTGAAGTTTGCTGCAGATGTATCAACCATCTGTCTCAAGGTTGAGACCTGGCAATTACTCCACTATTGATCGGGTGCTGTGCAGCTGAGATTGGAACAACCTCACCTTTACTAATGTCTTCCCATGCAGAAGCACACATAGCAAATACATACAACTTGGGGCATGACCACAAGCTGCCTAAACTCAGGACTTCTGACTTCCAACTATTGGTTGTTTGAGCTGGCAAGAGACAGCTTGCAACCCTGTTATATACTTCTTTTTGATACCGGCTCCTTTCAAAACATAAACCAATGGACGCGTGTTTGCCATCAACATCCTCAGATCAATGAATGTGGCTTTGCTACTGGCTAAAGATTGTATTGACAGGAAAATCCTCCATGACATGTACGTACATGTTGGATAGCTGGCAGAAGAAACCAAAGGTAACGAACAATATTATCAGGAATGTCACGATATAATATATAGCCGTGGGAGTCCTGAGCTGTTCTTCCACGGCAAGCACCTCCATCCTCTCAGTATGTGTTGGGCGACCTTTTAATGTAATATAATGTATTCTACCTTATTTCCCTGTATGTATGTACCTCGACGATGTCATGTCACCGCGCTTGACAAAAAGACCTCAAACCTCTGATATGACATGAGCTGGGCTAAATACGTATGATTAAACCCCTATGTCGTATAACTTTCTTACGCTCCTGCTTACGCTTTTCTTACGCAACCACAATGTGAGCTTACGCGCCACGGATATTACCTTACGCAGATCTTACGCATCTGCTTTTTCTTACATGAGAACCATACTCCCAAGTTAAATGCTTCGCAAAGGCTCCTTTTTGCAGGTGAGCGGGCAACAAACACATGATCACTAAGACTCCAAAGCAGAGGAAGCAAAGGATCACTAGCATCTACTTACTGGCTGGCGTGGGTCCATACAGTTCCTTTATTGACAAGTGTGTGCTAATCTACTAATTAATGAAAACACAACCATATGGCAAGCTTACGCAACATGCATGTCTCACAACTCCCTTACGCAACCTTACACTTTTCAGGTTTTTGCTTACGCCCAAGTTCCATATGACAAGGCCTTTACTTGATCTTGGGAGGTCTTTAGCCTTGCGCACATGTTTCTGCATTGTTTGTGTCAGACCAAGACGAGGCGATTATTTATACTCTTCCAACATCTGACGCTTCAAGGGGCACGCCATCAGCAGCTGCTTGAATTGCACATCAACTACAAGTAGCAATATGGTCAAGCCACAAACGAAAGGGGGCTTTTTCACTAAAGGGCCTAACCAACAAGAACCGGTTTCGACCTTTAAGGTTCTGTTCAACTCCAAGCCTTTGTAGCCAAATGCCTGAATTGAAGCAATGACGTGTGGAATGTTTTACAAAATACCCAGCCAAATGGCCTCAATCATTTCGGGATAGCCAATCGGAAGGGTTCAAATCCGTGGAGACTCAACAGGTCAGTTAGTTTGAGTGCCCACTTGCATGTAAAGGACCTTACCTGCAGAGGAATGATGATGAATCCTACAGCCCTGGCAGTGCAAAGCTCGTAGTGGGCCCCATGGCCCGCACTGACTTGCCCTGACCAGCCATACATCTCGAAGGTAGAGTTGAGCAGCCACCCATCTGAAGAAGAGCTCGGTCTCGCTTGCTTGCTCAGAGTTGCCAAATCTTTTCATCGGATAGCCCTCGACGCTGCCAAACTGTTGACGAAGAAAAGGAGGCACCAGTTTGGCATTGCAACGAGCAGCGTACCACAATCAACCCAGTAATCCCCAGGCTGTAGGGAATTATTTCAGAAACCACCACGACCCCAGAAACTTCTGGGTCATCAACACTCTAGCCAGAATATCCAATGTGGGGGGATGTTGGTTGAACAATTGATTGACTAGAGCAACGCTCTTGTTCGAAACCAACCAGCCAATAAAAGTTGTCATATCAAATTCATATCAGTGTGTCAACTGTGTCAGTATCCTTCACACTACTCATGCAGGTATATGCAGGGATCTTCCAAGGAGAGCCGTTTGTGTCTTATGAAAACGAAAGACTCTGCGCCTCTCTGCGCAAGGCCTCTGTTCTCTCAGACTGCCGCTGGAAGGCTGTCACCTGCATAGCAACAAGCATTGGCCAGCTCCCTTCGCAATGAGGACTGAGGCTCAGTACTCCCGATGAATCCCTTCACTGTGCAGTCAAAAAAGGCAATGCATCAGGAGAAACATCGAAAAACCATATCCAAGTGCAAACAGTGTAGTATAGCCGGCACACGAGTGAAACAGGTGGTCTTCACTTGGCAAGTACAATCAGTCTTTTCACGGAGCCTCTAAATTCCTTTCACAAGAATTCCAGCTTGGGCTGTCTTGGCGCTAATCGTCATATTTAATAAGTGGATCTAAATATTTACATGATTATGTATATGTATGTGACGTGTATGTATGTAATTTTCTACTGGACAAAAAATCGGTATTGGACCAGTACTTGGTTTCAAAGTTTCATATTGCCAGGCTTTCACCCAACGTGTCTTCAAGCTATCTTATCTGTGAGAACGGGGCCTGAAAAACGATCGTGACTGTAGACTATAAAGTACTATAAGCAACCTGCGGCAGCAGCACACAGAATTTGGCAGTGTAGGTACAAACTGCATCATGATGCTCTCGATTCGTACACCACTATCATCCATGACCCACGAAAGCCGCGAAAGTCTCTGCATTTCTCCCACCTCCGCGTACATCGGAAACTTTGCCGAGGCGAGCGGATCATTGACATGGGGAACCTCCAAAGGCAGGCTCCGGGAAGCTTGCACATGCGTGGGAACGAGGTCCATTATCCTGTCTTGCATGCTCAGGCAATACAAAGTAAAGTACTTATATAATTAAGGCGAGACTAGACAACAGCAAGTTTCATGGAGATAGGTAGGGCCCAAATGTAAGGCCTCGTTTCAATGTGCTGATTGGGCGCAGATCTAATTGTCAGGCTTCGTGGCGAAGTGGGGTGACATTGATGCGCCATGCCAGGATTTCACCGAGATTGGCAAAAGTCAGGTTAAGCCTTCAGATGTCACCTGAAGGAAGAATTGAATATCACCAAGATTGAACATCAGCGCGCGTAACACACAAAGAGCATCAAGCAAACAGTTGTGGCACCATTGGAATAGAGTTGAACTGCGATATCAAATGCATCCGTATGTGTCAAGCGCCAAGCGCAGCACGTGTTTGTTCTGCAGGGCTAAGGGTGGCCTTTCACACGTCTGTCCCGGATCCTGTGAGGGTGTTGGAGTTGGCCCCTGGATTGCGGAGTGGCTGAAGCGGTCTAAAGCGCGAACGGTTCCCTGTCTATTTTCTTCCAGCCAAACCCTGCAATGAAGCATCATCAAAAGGAGCAAGGCGTTACCACAGCACAGGAGGAACGGAAAGATTAAAAGTTCTCGGTTCAAGGCCGCATTATAGACACGGAGATCATTTCCAATAGATTCCGTATCATCGTCTTCATGCATCACCAATTCAAATACCAATTTGTCTGGGACAGTCACACCGTCGTTGACCGTAGTTCACCCTGTTCACAGTTCTTGGTTCAAAGAAACTTGCCTTAAAGGATCATCATCGCTAGCGGTCTTAAGTACATGCCCAAGTAATTTCGCTTTACGGTAGAGACAGGATTCGCTTACGAGAGGATATTTCTTGTGTGCGATAATTATCTGTACATTGCTGAAGAACTGCACTAGTTGACATATTTCTATGAATGTATTACACCGGTGAAAACTAACATTTTCGCAAAACAAACATTTTTGGTGTGTGTGTAACCCTCGGAGTCATAGGGATCCTTCTGGATTTGCTTAGTTTTTCATAGCAGGGGGCCCGTGGACACTTGGATGGCATGGGCCAACGAAGACCCATCCAAGCTGTCGTGAAAACGTACCTGCTTGGTGCACCTGGGCGCATTGTAAGACGCAGCTGGTGGCCACCTTTCTTCCTTTTCTTTTGTAAAGTGCTAGTGCATCTGCAGATGTGAGCGGCCGTCGCCACCCTGTCGTTTCGACTTCGACTTGCGCGTTTGGCCCCACTTCCTTTTGAAGACGCCCAGGCCCTTTAGGATTGTCCTGGACCGGCGTGTGGCACCGCATTCACATCAGTACGCATATCCATGAGTGTGTTTGGCTACGTGCCAGCCCGGGATGAGCCCGCAGAGTGCCTCCCGTGGACCCGTCGAACGGGTGTACGTCGTTATCTCCCCTGCCCGGAGATGTAGATGCCCAGAGCGGGCGAAGGTGGCCTAGGCCGTACGTACGATGATTTTTGTCTCATCTTTGGAATTCCAAGTTGGCTTCTGCCTGTACGTGACCGCAGCGGTCAAAGCAGCCAGCCATTTCGGCAGGGCACAAGGTGACCACAGCGGTCAAAGCAAGTTTAAGGTCCATTGGGACCTGTGGAGAACTTAGCCCCCTTCTCCCCCTGCCCTCCCCCCTTTCTTTCCATGCTTTTTGGGGCTTTCCTGAATGTAATACTCAGGAACTCCCCTTTCCTTCTTTGGTGTGTCCCTGGACGATTGTTCGTAGCTGGGAACACCTTCCTTTCTCTCCTCTCCCTTTCTCTCCCTCTCTTTTTCTTTCCTTCTCTTTTTCCTCTCTTTTCCCTCTTCCTTCCTTTTTGGTGTGTCCTTGGACGCTTGCGCCGTAGCTGAGAACACCTTTGCTTCCTTCTCTCCCTCCTTCTCTTTTCCTCCTCCCCTCCCCCCTCTTTCCTCGTGCGTGGCGTATTTACAAACAAACTAGGCTTTTGCAACAGGTTTCTCAATGAGGTTTGGACTGTCATTGGTTTGCCCCCTTTCATTTGGTTCCCCTTTCATCCGCCCCCACTGGCCCTTTTTTCCTTCTTTCCTTTCATGTCCTTCTGTCTTCATGTCTCTTCTTCCTCATCCTTTCTTTCTCTTGCGCGCACAATCGTCCGGACCTTAGTTTGCACACATACACGAACGCGTACTCTACTTACAACGAGGTTTAGGTGGCCCAGGTTCGTTACAATGAGGTTTGGCTCACCGGTTGTCCCTCTTCACTTGGTTCCTTTTCATCGGCAACCACACACACCTTTGTCTGTCTTGTCCTTTTCATTTTCATCTGTCCCTTTTGCAAGCACATGTGCCTACCTCCTTTCCGGGCAGGATGGAGGTCACATGCCTCCCTTCGGGGAGGCGTGTGTGTGTAACCCTTGGAGTCATAGGAATCCTTCTGGATTTGCTTAGTTTTTCATAGCAGGGGGCCCATGGACACTTGGATGGCATGGGCCAACGAAGACCCATCCAAGCTGTCGTGAAAACGTACCTGCTTGGTGCACCTGGGCGCATTGTAAGACGCAGCTGGTGGCCACCTTTCTTCCTTTTGTAAAGTGCTAGTGCATCTGCAGATGTGAGCGGCCGTCGCCACCCTGTCGTTTCGACTTCGACTTGCGCGTTTGGCCCCACTTCCTTTTGAAGACCCCCAGGCCCTTTAGGATTGTCCTGGACCTTCAGGATTTGGGTTCTTAGGCCGGCGTGTGGCACCGCATTCACATCAGTACGCATATCCATGAGTGTGTATGTTAGTCTAGTTTCGGAGCGGACACCGTTGAGACTAACCTAGACCAAATTCCGATGTGCCATGGTGGGCCGTACGGGTATTTGGCATGGTCTATGTTGGCCTCCACCGGGCTATGTTGACCTCTACCGGGCTTGGTCTATGTTGGCCTGCATTCTGTGTACAGTCAGATTTGCAGTTGGTCCATGTTAGTGTCAGACTTGATCATAGACTGAGAGTAGGAATGGTCCATGTTGCGCGCCCCTTCCGGAGGTGATTTCATGGATTCATGAACCTTTGGTCTTGCAGAGCATTCTGATTTTTAGCCGGAAACCGATCACGTCTTTTGCACTTTTTGCTGTAGTCATCTGTAGTCTGTTTGGCTTACTTCTTGGGTTGGCAAAGGGCGAACTGCACTGTCATGTTTCGCTTGTGTTTCCGACTCTCTCGAAGGATTGCGAAGCTCTCTCGGAGGCCTGTCACCTTCTCAAAGAAACACCAAACAATCGTGTGTTAATTCACGGAATTCATCTGAATTCCATGGTTGCACATCCTTTGGCTCACCATAGTCTCTGCTTGCTGTTTAAAGTTCGCTAGAGTCTATCCTCCTCTCCGCTGACAGTTTACTTATCTGTTCAACACATCTTCAACCTCGTCACCGTCGCTGGCCGAGACTTCTCGAAGTGTGGGCGACCTAAGATGCAAGATTGTAGTCTCATGATTGCATAGGTTCGGCAAGGCACCTGACAGATTTGGATCATTTGATTTTGTAATTTTAGATCTATGATGATCAATGACAGTCTAGTGCACGAGATGCACAATTCAACAACTACAACTACAACTGGTATTTACAATTTTTTCACAAGTGTTCTGTGGGTACCCGTTCTTTGCCGTCAGTCAGAGGCAAGGACCTAAATGGTCTAAACGAATTAAAATATGGCCAAACCAACTGGCTGAGGCAAACACGGGGCCCGTGGAGGGGCCTGCATAGATTGCGCAGGGCCTTAGGGTTTCTGGCATCTTGGACTTCAAGGATGATGAATCATTTTCTGAGGCATTAGTTTTTTTTACAGTATGTCTTTTTGATTGCTTGCACAATGTTCCATGACTCCTCAAACACACCCTTCAGCGTTGGACCTGATGTGGTTGGAGTTGGACTCTCCTACCAATGAAAACTGCTAAACGGCAAGGTCTCACTTGCGCATCAGGGTTCACCTACACAGCGATTTTGGGATCACTTGTGCATCAGGGCAATGACATGCGCTTCGACTAACAGTGATATCCAACATTTCAGTGTTGAAGTGGGGTGGGGTGGGGCGCGGCGAGGTGGGGGCACATATCGACCCATTTACCATATCTATTCAAGGACGGGACGCAAAAACGACAGGAACGATCCTGGCATACTCTTCTTGTTATGTAGGAATCCTGATTTATACATATATATACTATATGCGCGTGTGCGTGTACATCCACATGCATTTGTAGCGACATATTCTCATATGCACCGCATCGTTTCAAGGACAGGAAATAGAAGTCATTCACCCTTCTTCCGGAGAGTGTGCAAGGGACGGTCCCGCAGGGAGGACAAAACTATACAAAAATTGTCCAGACCAAGGAACCAAAGAGTGCAATATATACACACCTGAGAAGAGGGGGACGAAAGCCAGCAGCCGCCATTTCTGGCGGGCGTCGCAGCACAAGACACATGGTCGGCAGCTTGCGAGTCAGCGGTGCCGCGGATGCGGGGGGCCGTATGTAATGGTGATGGAGGGAGCAGAGAAGCAAGCCGGGCGGCTTTGGGAGAAGTTTGGTATGAAAGAAGTAGTGCAAGAGAAATGCGATACGTTGTATGTGGGTGTAGGTCATCATCACAAGGCAATGGCGTGTGTTTGTCACACGCAGGAATGCATTTTATGGAAGTTGGAAGGCGACATCAGTCCATAGCCAGCGTCGCGCGCACGCCGCGGGCGAGTACGGCATGCGTTTGAAAAGAAGCAGTTACGTGTTTGGGCTAGCGAAGGAGTGAGGATTTGTGCGCCTATCGATGCACATGCCTGGGCTTGAGTGAGTCATGTTCTGCCTCGATCCAAAACACAAGCTTTTACCTTTGAAGGGGCCTCTATTAAACGATCCAAACGCCTTCTTTATTCTTCTCTTTCTTATCTTGACTTTGGCTCCTGCGTGTGTAGATCTTTGGGCCGTGGACCCAGGCTGACTGGATTCGGCCAGGGCTGCCAGCAAAAAGGTGACGTCATGAGTCAGTAGTATATAGAATATATCGTTCTATCTATCTATCTGTCTATCTAAATCTATATCTATATCTCTATCTATCTATATCTATATCTATATCTCTATCTCTATCTATCTATTCTATTCTATTCTATCTAATCTATCTATCTAATCTATCCATCTAATCTATCCATCTAATCTATCCATCTAATCTATCCATCTAATCTATCCATCTAATCTATCTATCTAATCTAAGTATCAAATCTATCTATCTAATCTATCTATTCTATCTATCTATCTATCTTATGTATCTATCTATCTATCTATCTATCTTATGTATCTATCTATCTATCTATCTTATGTATCTATCTATCTATCTATCTCTCTATCTATCTATCTAGCTATCTATCTATCTAGCTATCTATCTATCCAGCTATCCATCCATCCATCTATCTACCTATCTATCTGCGCTGGCAAGCCGGAAAAACGTTCGGTGCGTGTGGACGCCGCGAGAAGCATCCACTCGACCGAGGACATGGTGCAAGTATAGTTTTTGCTGGGGGGCAGGAGCCCTATGCGGATATGTAGTCAACTTCGCACGCGTCCCCACCGAGACTCAATCCAAATTCATGGACTTGAACTCATGCCACTTTCGGTTCTCTATGGATTTCGCGAGTTACGGGTTGTCCTGGGAACTCGTATCCTACATGCGGCTGCGGTCTGCTCTGTACGTTGTACGTGGGTCCCTGTCCCCACTCGCTTGCTCAATTCCCTCAGATGCACTACTCGGCGTCCATTACATCACTCGCATCACCAGACCCTATTTTTACTGCTTTTCTGACCCTCGCTTTGGAGCGCTCTTCCCCACCAAGCTCTGGGTTCACCCTATCAAAAGGTCCTCCTCAGCGACCACCCCCCCACACCCCCTTAACTCACTTCGTTCGCCTATCGGCTGGCTTTCGTAATTATATATTACATATATACACCTTACTAGGCGACGGTTGGCCCGAGAGCGAGACATGTAATTGTCCAGCACTGTCGAAAAGATGTATAGAAAGAGAGAAAGAGAGGGTGGATGTGAAGGAGTGACAGTGTGATGCGCAGGTGCGATATAGATCTGTAGATGTATGGAGGTGGAGAGGAACCAACACAGGTCAAGCGGATGTATAGCTCACCGTTGCCCAAAGGACTTATAGTTCGTCTATACGTCATGAACATTCACGAATTTCACAAAATTTCACGAAAAATCACCAAATTTCACGAAATTTCACGAACATTCACCAAATTTCACGAACGTTCATGAAATTTCACGAACATTCACCAAATTTCACGAACGTTCATGAAATTTCGAGAACTTTCATGAAAATTCACGAAATTTCATGAACATTCACGAAATTTCGCGAAATTTCATTTAAAAAATTACGAAATTTCACGAAATTCCATGAAAATTCACAAAATTTCACGAAAATTCACCAAATTTCAAAAAAAATCATGATAACTCATGAAATTTCACGAAAAATAGCAGCGTGAAATTCCGTGAAATTTCATGAATTTACATCTATAGATCGTCTATAAGGCCTGAAAACGTGCACGGATGGTTTTTTTGTGGCGCGATGCATTCTGAGGCAGCTTGCGGCTTGAACCGAAGGAAAAAGAATCAAAGAGCGATCAATATTTCAAGGCACGGCCCACAAAACAAAACGTGCTAGTATGGATGGTAATGTCCTATACTGCGCGCGCTAGGAACTTCATTTTCTTGTCACCAAGTGAAGGACCAGGAAACTGCTGACCATTATGCCCCCCTAAGCAAGGAATTGAAACATTTAGATTTACGCGCAAAAGCAGTCAGGCTGCCCTGCTTTTGTTGCCTTCTTGTTGGCCAGCACTATGCTGCTTGCATGGCTTTCCGCGTAGTTCTTGCTGGTCAAAGAACTCTTCAAGCTTTAGTAGAATTATGATCGCTCTGCGTGTAGCCCTCGCATCCAATTCTGAGCCTGTTGATTTATGAAGCCACCAGCCTCCCATGTCTAATCTCTCACACCTTTTTAGTTTCCATTTTACATCTCCACATGCTAAGCTGTGCAATTTGTAGCCCTGCAAGTCGGCGACAATATAACAAGCTCCTTATCTTTCGAAATTCTGGAAGCTCACACCCAGTTGCTAGCGTTTCTTCCCAGCTTCCAAGCTGCGATGGCTGGGCGCAAGTCCTCCTAAACTGCAATCCTGACCTGCGTGCTATGAGCTTGCTTGGAACATGCCTTTCATTCAGCCCCGTTGAAAGGGTTTCTGCTCAAAAGGTTTTGGCCCACAACTGATCCATGAAATGCTTGCGCCCTCCTCTCGGTCCTGAGTGTTTGCTTTGCTCTCCCCAACCTTCTTGAAAGACAGCGCAGGGAGCGAAAGCTTTGACGACCCCCCCAGATTTAGGTCAGGTATTTGCCTGGCACAAGCCGTCACCCGTGGCAACCTCAAGTTGAAACCGGATAAAGTCTGCAAGAAGATCAACAAAGTAAGACTTGTCACCATATGATTTCAACGTCGCGCCGTGAAGAGCTGCTCGCCAGCGCCACAAAGGAAGCTTACAACGGCTTACAACTCAATTTTTCGCCCCGGGGAGGCGCGGGGTGGAAGCATGATAGGACAAGGCCGAAGCAGAAAATAGACTATACGGCGAACAGCCTTATAGGCTATCTATACGTCCTTTCAACCTGTGTTGGTAGATCTGTGGATGTGAGCGTGCGAAGATGTAAATGCACAGAGACGAGAGAAAAGATATGTAGAAAGAAAGAAAGACAGGACAGATGTGAAGGAGCGACAGTGTGGATGTACAGATGTGATATAGATGTGCAGATGTGTGGGTGTGGTGAGGTGGAGAGGTAGATCTGCGGATGTGAGCGTGCGAAGATGTAAATGTAAAGAGGTGAGGGGGTGTAGACGTAGATGCGTCGATGCAACGGCAATGCAACGTCAACCTTAGTTGCGCAAGTACAACGCTGAAGAGGTTCAACTAGAACTGAAGAACGTACATTTCACACTGGAGTTTCCACGAAGAGGGCGACCAGAGAGTAAACGACGTCACGATCATGACAAGCGACTCGTGTATTCCAAGCGAACATCGTTTGTCATGAAGGTGAAGTACACACATACTAACGTCACGATGACTCTTTTGTGGCAGCCACTTATGAGTAAGCAAAGTAGCTAAAATTTGTCAACCTCTCAAGAGAGCCGGGTGTCGGGAGACATGACTCAGCTGCAGGGGCGCCAGAGCAGCCGCGAGAGATGACTCAGCCGCGAGAGACGACTCATCCGCGTACTCAAGTTGTACTACAAAGTCGCCAGTTCTCAGCTTCCAGCTCCACAGCTTGCTCCGCGTAC